TTAGCAGCCAAGACAGTAATATTAATTAAAATATTATTTTTAAGAAAAAAAAATTATAAAAAAAAAGTCAACGCCGGAGACCCGGCGGTCAACGGCAGCACCGGCCGGAAAAACAAAATTTCAGGAAAAAAAATTTCAAAAAAAAAAAAGTCAACGCCGGTCAACGGCGGCGACCGGCGGTCTCCGGTGGTGGCGGGTCAAAATTGAAATTAGGGTTAAAATTGGTTAATTGATGAAATTGGCCTAAATTGGGGTGTAAATCATGAAATTGAAGTTAAATTGGGTTTCAATGAATTGAGCGTAATTTTGGTATGTATAAAAGAATTTTCCTTATTTGCAAATAAGTTTGAATGAGCCGTATTTATTTGAAAGACAAAAAAATTGGATGTCCCTGTTTTAATTAAGTGCCCTTATCATGGGCCTATTTGCCATTACCCCTTTTTTTAATACTCGTGCATCAGCTCAAAACCACAAATAAAATGAGAAGTAGTATTTTGTTTTCTTTTCGAGTTGGCGAGTTGCACCACAGGATATATACTAAAAAAGACATTTTATATAACTATTCTTTTCCCATAATGATAGGTAATTAAAATAGTAGTAAATTCTGATTACACATTGATTTTTTAATCTTCAGTGCTTAATGGAAATGGACGAACAAAAGGTTCTAATGAAAAATCTTTTAAATTTGAAAGAATAATTATGCAATTAATTCAAAGCCCAGTTTTGCTAAAAAAAAAACCCACTGTATGGAGATTTTAATTTCCCATCCAATTGTAATTTTAGAAAACTCACACTCAATTTTAGTATGTATTTTGTTTATATATAATATATAAAACATAATTCTTGAATTCACCTATTTCCATCAAACAAGTTCGATTTTGTTTCAAAATTCAAATAATCAAGTTTTGCACATCAATGAGTCACATATTGTAGAAATTATTTTAATTAAAGTTGTTCATTGATCTATCATGAAATTTCTTACTTGACAAAGTATTATGAGTTTTCGCTGAAAAAAAAAATGAACCACAACACTTATTTTTACATACTAAGCAAAAAATATTTACATCGTATTTGCCGGTAATAGTGTGTCACTATTTCAACTAGTAATCATGCCCGTGCGTTGCACGGGATCGCATTCAACCAAAGGAAAAAAAATAATTGTTTAAATAAATGATAATAAAAATTGTAATAAAAATCTATCAAATAATATTGAAATATATCTGTGAAATTCAGACTACAAAACTATTACTTTATTTTATAGTAGCATGTATTTTCTATCCTACAATCGGTATACACACACACAACCCGAGTGTTAATATATAAAGTATATGTTAAATAATAAATTATATAAATTTAGCAAAGGGAACGACAATTTTAAATACATTGTTTCTCATTTCAATACCGCCTAGATAATAAATAGGTGATGACATTTGAACCTGTAATGAAAATCAATATCACACAAACATAAAAAATCTCATTTTTCTTTCTTTATTTTCCACACACAAACCCGTCACACCCCTTCTACTCATATTTCTTCTTCCTCCTCCTCCTTCTTATCCTCATCCTTTTTCTCCTGATTTTTCTTCTTCTTCTCATTATTCTTCTTCTTCTTCTTCTTCTTCTTCTTCTTCTCATTCTTCTTCTCATTCTTCTCAATCTCATTCTTCTTCTTATTCTTCTTCTTCTTCTTCTTCTTCTTCTTCTTCTAAATAAATAATTGTATTGTTTACGTGTAAAAAACAATTGCTTACATTGAGATCATGGTGTTCTAACTTCGAGTTAGTAGGTGGTTAGAGTGATGGATAAGAAAAATCCAAAAAATAAAAAAATAAAAAAAAATTAGAAACACTGTAATTAGAGTGGAGTGGAATTATACCGGCCACTACCTAAAATAATAAGAAAATATTAAATGTTCTAAAATTATATATTTATTGAAATTAAATAATTGACAACATATCACATTATAAGAAAAATCGTAAATAGATGGAGAAATAATATTGAAAACTTGCTGAATACAATTAACAACAGTTTTAACGATAAAGCAATCAAACCTGATGCTCCATAGTTTATCGAAGTCCAATATATCATCACTCGTCATCTCTTGCTCCATTGTGTCTAGAAAAATGACCGTTAAGAGTCAATCCTTTAAGCTTTTGATCCATCCTAAAGGAAAATCACCATTGAAAGCTTTTGATAATTAGCAATTCTAAGTGCCGATTATGTATCTTATAATTGACATTCAAGATGCTCATTATGTATGTAGGTTCCCCTCCAAGATCCTTAAGACATGCCAATGTGTGTAGGCACTTCGTGTATGAAATTCAGGAAAAAAAAAAAAAAAAAAAAAACACAAACAAAAGTTTTACTTATCGTGTGTGAAGGTTTGGTTTTTTTTCTTTTTTAAATGTTGTGATATTGTGCAACAAAGAACCGAGAGGGAGAATGTGGAAAAAAAATAATTGCCCCTAGAACTACCAAAATATAAATAAATAAATAAAAGAAAATTAAAGAAAAAACTACCCAATAAAAGCATAAAAAAGTTAAATGACAAAATTGTCTTTAGGTATAGGTCTAGGGTTATAGGTCAAAATATCTTCTTTGGATATATAAGATTGCCCCGTGCGATGCACGGGACAAATTATTTGTCATTTACGCACGCCAAATATATTGCATTAATTTGTCCAGCAACAATTTTTTTTGTCTCAAAGGTAATGAGGTCTGTTATTTATAGAATCCAATTTTTTTTCACAATAAACACATGTAAAATTGCATTTCAATTCATGACTATTAATTAATGGACTTTTTTAAGTGTTATTTTTTAACATAGTACATAACTATAGTCGCTACAAATAAGCCGTAAACATTGATCATAATAAGAAATGTATGGGTAATCACTAATGACGAACAGATAAATAGATAATTATAGTATAGAAAAACTAAAATATGATAAAAATAAATTAAACTTAACAAAATCGGACAAATTGCATGAAACAACTTCTCTGAAAACTGCCCAAAAAGAAGAAAAAATAGAGAAAACTACCCAATTTATAAATAAGTAAGATTGTCTAGGCATTGTACGGGGTGTGTGCAGTTAATCTGGTATAGGGTTGTAACTGGTAAGCGATGGGCATAAAAATATCCAGTTATAAATAAAAAATGTACAGCTAAAAGAAAATGGGTATATTCACTGCATTAAAATCCAAAGTAATTCTCTGTAACGGTTTACACTAAAAAAATAGTGAAATCTGAGCAAATCACTCATTTTATATATGTCCAAAATATCTGATTAAATCAGTTTTGCAAAATAATATGATGTCGAAGAACTGGTAGGGGCAGTCAAAGAAATATTCAGGTTTATTCTAAAAATATGATGTCGTTCATTATGCTTTTTTTCCCTTCAAAACACTTGGCATGAGGTGGTTTGAAACAAACACGAAGATGAGAACAAACTCGAAGAAATATGCAATCAATAAGCATTAATTGTTTAGCTACTAAGAGGTATAAATACGAAACAAATGCAGGCAGAAGAATACGACTATAGAGATGAAAACATTGAACTCAAATAGAAAAGTTGGTTTAAACCACTGACAAAATACAAAGTGGAGGCATCCAACAAAACCGCAATCCATGAACCCAATGCTTATCTCCATAATCCCATTTACCAATCGAAGAAAAACAAAAAAATGATCTTCAAAGGATAAGGTATAAACGACCAGGAATCGACAACTTATCCAATAATGAACATCATCTCAGAAATTAATATGAGGACAACAACGATATTTCAATGAAAGAATGCTGCTATGGAACTTCGCAAACTTTGATACAAAATTGAAGTCGCGTAAGTAATTAGAACTTCGCAAACTTTTTGGAGGAAGAAGAAGGAACATACAGTGGAAAAATTATGTGTTTTAACAAACCTGCAAGAAAGCAAAATACATTCCACAAACTTTAAACCACTATAAACAACATAAAATTTGAATATGTTAAAAAAATGGCTACTATGGGAGATTGTAAGCAAAGAAGATATACCTTCTACGTCGGTTGTTAATTGTCGATGAAAGGGGAAAGAAAAACTTAACCTGCAGTGGAAAGAAAAAAAATTAAGAAAACACAAACCATATGTTCTAAGCAAGCTTAAACAAAATATGTATCTAAAGAACAAAAATAAAAAAATAACAGAGCAAGGGAAAAGAATACATAAATCTAAATCAGATACGACAATAAATGATTTGCAGGGAAATAGAAGTGTTCGAACCTATTGATAAGCAAGAATATTGAGAATGGAGCATCATTACCACCGCAAACTCTATATTGTGTTTGTGGGAGATAAAGAAGGGAATTAACTATTAAGCAGTGATGTCAAAAGCCGATGGAATCTCACAGGGAATCTATAAAATTTCTACGATGATATAAAGAATTGAGATGAGATCGTGTCCTTGATGAAGATCGTGGTTGCAGAGGTTAACGAAAGATCGTGTGTTTAGTTTTTGCTGCAACCGTTGAAGAAAGATCGTGATTCAGTTTATATATTCATCGTGTATTCAATTTTGTACAAATTGGAGGCATTTTTTATTTATTTTTTTACTTATTGAGAAATGAAAAAACTGCTAACATATGAATTGTCAAAAGTACCCCTAGGTTTAGATTTAGGGTTGTAGGTCAAAATATCTTCTTTTTATATATAAGATATAGTAACAATAAAAATAGATTAAATGAAGAAAAAATAAAGTTTTGTCACTTAATATGCCTTGGTGACAATTTTTGATATATTCATCAAATTCAAGTAATAATACTGTTCATACAAATAAATTTTGTTTGCATGCATGTACCATTTATTTATTCTTTTTAATTTGCAACAATAAATTTTTAGTCCATTTAGCCGCCCATGCCCACCATGCGCACTAGTTCTTGAATCCACACACGCGCACCGACCAGAGCGTGAGATTCAAACTAGATGCCAATGATCGACGTGTCTATATAAGGTTGGTCGTTAGCATTCCCAAAAATCCACACACAACAGCCAGCCACCATGGCATCTCTCCCGCTTTCTTGCTACACCACCACCCAATTCTCTAGTAGTATCTCCACACAGCCGCCGCCGCGGCAGCGCTTCTCCGCCCAAACACCGCCGCCGACACGGCGGTTTCAGGTCAGAAGCACTGGTGGCCCAAATAACGAGAAAGGTGAAAACAGCCCACCAAATGGCGGGAAATTCGACCGGAGAAATTTACTCATGGGCATGGGAGGGCTGTACAGCGCAGCAAATCTCGTCCCGACCGATTCGCCGGCATCGGCAACTCCGATTTCATCGCCGGATCTCTCGAAATGCTCGAGGGGGACAGATCTGAGCACGCAGCAGCCACTAGACGTGAACTGCTGCCCGCCGGTTGTTGACGGAATCACCAACTACAAGCTGCCGCCGGTGACAAAGATGCGGTTCCGCCCCGCCGCCCATCTCGCCGGAAAAGAGTACATAGCCAAGTACGAGAAGGCGGTTGCGGCGATGAAGGCACTCGACAAAACCGACCCAACCGACCCACGAGGCTACAGCCAACAAGCAAACGTCCACTGCGCATACTGCAACCTCACCTACGAACAATCCGAAGACTCCGACACAAAACTACAGATCCACAACTCATGGCATTTCTACCCTTGGCACAGATGGTACTTGTATTTCTACGAGAGAATCTTGGGCAGTTTGATCGACGACCCCACCTTCGGTCTTCCTTTCTGGAACTGGGACAATCCCCCCGGAATGGTCATGCCCGACATGTTCGCGGTAACCACTTCTCCGCTTTACGATGCCCGCCGCAACCTGGAGCACCTGCCGCCGGCGGCGGCGGACCTCAACTTCGCCTCAAAGCCCACCACCGACCCCTCCAAGATAGTTACCAACAATTTGACCACAATGTACGGCGAGATGGTCCGGAACGTCTCCAAGCTGGAGGACTTCTACGGAGCCAAATACGTGGTTGGGACCGCCCCGGACCCAGGTCCGGGGACTGTCGAGCGCGGGTCCCACACGGCGCTGCACGTGTGGGTCGGCGAGAACACGCCCACCGGAGAAGATATGGGAAACTTCTACTCCGCTGGGCGGGAGTCGCTCTTCTACAGCCACCACGCCAACATTGACCGTCTCTGGTCAACGTGGCAGGGCCTGAGGGGTAAAAAGCCCAAGGGCTTTAAAGACAAGGACTGGCTTGACGCCACCTACTTGTTCTACGACGAGAACAAAAACCTCGTCCAGGTGAACGTAAAGGACGCGTTGGATAACGAGAAAATGGGGTACACGTATCAGAAAGTGGACAACCCGTGGGTGAACTATCGGCCGAAGCCTAAAGTGAAGAAATCTAAAGCCGCCAAGAATTCCAAAGCGCCTACGGCTACCGATACTATATTCCCGGTCAAATTGGACAAAGTTGTCAAAGTGCTCGTCGACAGGCCTAGGAAATCGAGGAGCAAAAAGGACAAGGAAGACGAAGAGGAGTTGCTTGTGATAGAGGGGATAGAGGTGGACAATTCTAAGTTCGTGAGGTTCGAGGTTTTTATTAACGACGAGGATGATAAGCCGGAGGATCTTAGGGACAAGGCGGAGTTCGCCGGTGCCTACTCGCAAGTGCCGCACAAGAATTCGACAAGGACGAAGAGTAAGATAAGGTTGGGATTGACGGAGCTGCTGGAGGATTTGGACGTTGACGATGATGATCAGATATTGGTTGCTTTGGTCCCGAAAGCCGGGGGAGAGGATATTACCATTGGTGGAATCAAGATCATTTATGCTTCGTGATTGAGATTACGTTTTGTTTCGAGTGCTGATGTATGGTGTAACTTTTCGACTCGACCCGCAATTGTTAAAAATAAATAAAAGAGCTATTGTATTGGTTTATTGGGTGTGAATTATGTACTTCATTCGCTTTGTGCAATTTTACAAATGGATTATCAATGTCTAGCTTCAAATAGTTAAATCCAAAAGTTCCAAATTATATTCTCGGCAAGTTGGAAAAATAATATCTTCTTAGAAATTGACATTTCCCACCGATTGAGGAAAATGAATAAGGAAAAGGAAAATGGACATTCTTGTAATATTCCTATGGTTTATGTACCACTTGTTATTCAGTTATTGAGATGCTACTATCGGTGAAATACAATGGGTGATTATCAACTGTTAATTTGATGAAATATTTTTCTACTAAGCACACATACATATGTTTGTATGTTATTATACGCAGATCAACAGTTAATAATTGTCCGATGTATTTTATCGGTGTAGCATCAAATAAGCACTTACTATCCCGTACGGAATGCGTGGTTTAGATTTTTTGCTCATGGACCATGTGCACCTTGTTTGTTTCGATAATTCCATTTGATGGGGCACAATAATTCATACTGTTATTCAAACTCGATAGACCATATATATATATATATATATACTAGGTACGAGCACCGCGCAAGGCGCGGTGCCCCTGCACGGTGCAATTTTTCGACTATTTGTGTCCGATATTAAAAGATCGTTTTATGTCCGATAGTGAAGGATTGTTTGCCAAGAATAATGTAGCAGTTTCCTAATGTTCACTAAACACAAATTTTGCAGAGATAAATTGTTCTCTAAACTATGAAATCTTTGCATTAAGAATGTATATATATCAAAAGAGAAGGGAACATAAACCACAATATATCCTTCTCGAGTATATGGGAGGTCATAAATTAAACTAAGATGCCTATGCAGGTATAACATCATTTAGAAGTTTGACGAACAAAATATACACATTGAGGTTTGGCGTGGATTTGCTAAACAACTATCGCCCTACAGTTCTTCCATCTATTATGTGCCTTTACGCGTGACAACCTTATCGGCAACAACGGCATTTGCAAAAACGATAAAACTAAAGCTATTTCGATAAGGAAAAAATTGCCTGATCTATTCACCAAGGGACCATCCGATCTTTAATAGATCGAAAATCAACAGCTCGATAATGCAAAACCCCTGCAAATCTCGAACCTTAAATGTCCTAGTAAGAAAAAATACAAATAGAAAAATAAAAACCAATGAACACAGAAAATCGAAAGATAAATGAGAAATAAACTAAAAGTAGCACGATTATAACAGATATAAAAGTAGAAAAGATGATCATTACTCATTAGTATGCTATCAATGCTGGTCTGTCAATCCCGGTAATTAGCACTGCCCGCGGAATGAATTTTTTTTTTTACAGTCCAAAGCCATAGAGCAGAAGAACAGAAAAACATCAACTTCAAATACAGAAATATAATTTTGACAGATACAAAAGTATAATTGCCTCTATTAAAAAAATTGCTTCCATTAAAACAAAATTGCTTCTATACTGAACACCTTTTCTTAAACCGAAGAAAATAATTATTAAAAAAATATAAAAGCAAGTTTTTTTCTTTTTTCAATAATTTAGTCTGCACAGGTTTTAGTATCTATTAACAATGAATAGTGGTTTAAACTATATTTATATATGATCAATAAACTTATGACTTTTAAATTACTCGCACGCAATCGAATATGATAAATGCTTGCGAAAAGTGGGAAAAGTAATTTTCATATATATGAAGAGATACCTCCATCCCTGAGCAAGGAAGGAAAAAGCACGCAGGCTCTTTAAATAATCGTGAAACAAATTCCAAGTAAACCAACTTGATCAACCTATTTAAGAGGTGAAAATGTTCTGACAGGAAATCAAAAGAAAAAATGATTTAAAAACTACTCCTTACATGATCTTCATCAGCTAGACCAGTAGGCCGTAGTGTAATCACATATGCCATTTTTCGTTGAATCACTCCGGCATTTGTAAATCCCTCTTCTCTTCATTGTCGTTGGCTTGGATATCGGTTGCTTGCTTTTCCTATTATAAGTTTTAATTAGGTCACTGTCCCATATGAAGAAGGTTGTTCAACTATACCTAATTCATCACTCGATTCATCTCCCACTGTCTGCAAATTAAATAAAATAAAAGCTGAAAGAATCAATACATAAAATTCACTATTACCTTGTAATTCTTCTCGTAGATTGCTCATCTTATTAATTATCTCATTAGATGGCCATGTAGATATATACCTATTGTTCAGAACATTTAGTTGAAGCACAGTTATATTCACTGAAACCAATGTAAGGAGATATATTTTATTAAAAAAATGATTTATTTGAATATTGAGTTATGTATTGATTCTTACAATATTGCAATATTGTATCGATTCTTACTATACTGCACTGGGACCTGTGAGATTGCCAAAAGGAGAATCAAGCAAAGCTCTAGCCACCTAAATTTACAGTACGAATCATAAGAAATGTGATTAAAATTTGGAAAAAGAGAAACATAATAGGTTTTCATCATTACCAGCCAACCGACTCCACAAGTAATTACTGAAGGTCGAGTTGGTGTTGCACTTCCGTATCTTTCATTAGAAATTACTAATTACTGAAAGTGGGGCTGCTGCAAGAAAGAAGCCAGTAGAGTAGAACAATAAAATGAATTCCTTGATTGCATAATCTCGAAAACGTTCTGAGGTAGAAGGAATTAGCAACTCGAAGTAATTATGAAGATTCAATAAACAGTGAAGCAGAGAAACGAAACCTTTTAGTGAAAAAAAAATCAAAATAGCCAAATAATTGCGAGAACATCCCTCCATATTGCCAATCTCAAGTGAGCATATGAATCAAATACAGTCACAACTGAATAACAAATAAATTATGATAAATATTGTAAAAATGTGCTAATCATGATTTATAACCTGAGCAATGTCAACATGCAGCCAAGAAGTTGATTTCATGACAATTTGGTTTTTTGTGGATCCATCATGCAACCTAGAAAAGAAAATGAGATCATTGAAATCTGAATCCATCCATATAATTTAGAAAAGAAAAAAAAAACTTGAAATGGTGCTTTAGAAAAATAAATTATATGCCGATAAAAGAAGACAAAACAAAGCTACGAATGAAACAGCAAAAAAACAATAGGCAAAACCATTAGGAACATGGTATTTACCGGTAACAACATGACTCTACCCACCAGCAAACATCACATAATGTCATAACAGAGAAGGGCTAACCTTGAGATAAGTTGCCCGAAGAGGAACACGAAACCAACACGTGAATTGATGAGCTATGAAAACAGCATCAACCCAAAATTTTATAGAAAGGAGAAAAATTAAACAAAGACACAAACAACGTCGACCATCACCGAGCTTTATTAGAAGAAAACAAAAAAAAACTCACCTATTTTCGAATTGGTTAGCTCCGAGTACTGCTCGATTATTGATGCCGATGAAATCATAGCTACTTCTTGAATTTAAATCAAACTCGATCAAAGGCCCTTCGGTTTCAAGCTTCATATGGTCTCTCGTTTCGCGTGCTACTTTATTTCCATTTATTTCGTCTCCGTTTATCGTTTGCATTAAATTTGAGAGGGCTAAATTGAAGTCGGTTAATTGAGATTTCGTTAATTCCAGATTTTCGGACTGGTTTATGTCGGGAGAAAGGCTGTGTTGAGCCTTTTCGAGTATCGATTGCAAGTACTTCCCTTCAGCTTCTATTCTCATTTGCAATTTCTTCTGCACCTGTCACAGGAAAATAAAAATTAATATATATATTCATTTTATTTATTTATTTTTATTTAAATTATGTCAGTTAATATATATATATAATATATATACCTCAAGCTGTTGTTGCAGTGTTTTATGCACTTCAATCTGACACCTAAGTGCTTCGGCAATCGGAATGTCTCTGTTCAATGTTAATCGAAATTAGCTTTTAATCGAACGAGATTATTTCGATAAGCAACTTATATTATAGTGATATCAAAAATCATTGAAATATTTAAAAATCGAGTCGAAATTAAAACACCTACCCTTGTTCACTATTCATGCTCGATGAATTAGCGCTCGTGCTTGCGATACGCATGTTATGATGCCCATAAGAACTTTGTAGAACATAGAATCCAGAAATAATTAAGACAGTAATAAAACGAAATAAATCAGACGAAAATATAAGTCGTTTAAATCAAAGAAAATCGACTCACCACTGTTCTCTGTATTGTGATCAAGAACATTCTGTTTTTTGGCTTCTTGTTGTTGTCCAAGTCTATATTTCTGGACAAGCGAAACGAGTAACGAGAAAATTAAACGTCGTTTAAGATGAAAAACGAGGAGTTCGTGAAATTAAACGAGTAACTAAAATAAGTACCTGTAAATGACTCTTTAAGTGATACAAAGTCAATCCCTTCAATCCCATTAGCCTCAATACAGATTTGAGCCTCTGCAAATTCGATACCGTGACTTTTTAGATTCGTCGTCGGAGAATATTTATTAGTATTAAAAATCCCGAATGCGCGTGCACCGATCGAGTAATTTACAATCTATCTAACACGATACGATGTTTCTAATTCCGAAACAGAGGATCCATTTCTTCACATGATTCAAGAAAACAAATGTTTACATAATTCTAAGAAAAAATATACTTGACTGTCACAGAGAGAGAGAGAGAGAGAGAGAGAGAGAGAGAGAGAGAGAGAGAGAGAGGGAGAGAGGGAGAGAGGGAGAGAGGGAGAGAGAGAGAGAGAGAGAGAGAGAGAGAGAGAGAGAGAGAGAGAGAGAGAGAGAGAGAGAGAGAGAGAGAGAGAGAGAGAGAGAGAGAGAGAGAGACACTCACTGTCGGGGCCACCAAGCTTAGTGACAGCATCAACAAAACGATCATGCAAATCAGAAGTCCATCTCAGCCGTGGCTTTGAGTCTCTGGTCATCATCAAACCACCACCGCCGCCGTACATTCTTTCCATAGCCACAGCTCAGGACAACCACGGCGACATAAATAAATAAACCAGCTGTTTAAATATTAACGAGGCAGCAAATAAAATAAATCGATGCCGGAATGAACAGACGCGCGGACGAGAAGTCAACAGTTACAATAAAGTGCTAGTTACAATAAAGTGCTGAAGAAATAAGACAGCACGAAACAGTTACAAGAAATAACCCCTGAAGTAGAAAATTGAGTGATACTGAAAAAATATACATTGAATCGATAAATCAAAACAATAAACTGTAAATTTGAGAGTATGAACAATAGCATTGGCACAATAAATGCGTACCCACGAATTCGGACTATGAACAATAGATTAGCTTCTAGGCTGACATAAAAGCCACCCTTCAATCTCGCCTCGCGCTTCAACTAAATCAACCCTTATCCTAAACAGACCAAATTAATAAATATTAAAGGCTGCTAAGTTTGATTTTGATTCTTAAAACAGAGGATAAATTAAGGTTTTACCTGATTCTCATACTCTTGAGCATAATCGCTAGCTTTCTTGCAGATTAATTTGCGGGTCTCGACTTTCTTCTTCTTCGACTCTTCAACCTCTTTTGCCTTTGCAAAAGCCCACTCTTCGGCCCTCTTCTGCTTCTTCAACACAGACTCGGTACCAGAACACTACTTTTGACAACATTCATAAAAAAATAGGTAATAGTTGTACAGAAAACATAAGGCTAGCATAATATTGTTATCTTAAGTAAAAGAGAAACTCTAATTCTAATTATACCTCTGTATTCAAGCTTTATACCCGCCGTCATCATTATTCTTTTGTATTTGGTTTGAACTATCCATAATGAGATTTTCCAAGATTCTATATAAATTTCTATACGAAACCGAGATATGTTGTCCCCTAAACCACAACAACACTTCCAAAAATATTACATCACAAGACAAAAATTTCTCAAGAAAATATCGGTCTAATAACTCATATTACCTGAATATCATCGTTGACAAAATCTTAAGCCGTTATCTTTATTCAATATTACAACTTTATGTGAAGATCCTGGGATAAGAAAGTTGGAGGTAAAAGAGCACACAAGTAAGAGAAACAATGATATACGTCATCTCGCTAATCTTCGATTTATTCCAAAACCTTCCTGCAGATAAATCTACTAACCCTGGTGGATACAATCAACCATGGTATGGTTCCAACCTGCACAGGCATATAATATCTATATCTTAGTTTTCAACAAAAATACAAAGAAATGAAAAAAAATGAAGTACGGCTATTATTACCACAACATTGTCTTTCAAATATGCTCCCGATCTCCAAGAAAGCAGCTTACCTGTAAAAATAAGTGGACTATACATATAAATATGAAGCTTAACGCAATTTCAAATATGTATTTACTGGAATTAAGGAAGTGAAATTTGATATACAGTAAAAACCGAGATGTAATAACGGGTAGACGAAAACAAGTACCGAAGGGTTGCACGAGTTGATCAGATATTGTAGTGATAGGTATCTTCCAGAACCATAAAATCAGCACAACGTAAGTAAGAACCTGTCCGAAAAACGCAACTTAATAACTTCCAGAAATAAAATTCAATATGATCCTCTCAAGCATTTAAATAAATAACCTTTGATATTGTTAAGAGCTTCTCGTATGTGCCAAATGACAATTTCATATCCTTGTCGTCCATTTCTTCATCTGCGTGGAAACATCAGCAAAACATACAAATGAAACAATTGTTTCTAACACGTAAAAAGACACTCTAAAGAACGATTCACACGAATATTGTTGCACTTAAATAAAAACAGAATTTCGTACTTTTTGCAAGTTCCTTCTCCTTCGCTGCTGCCATTCTTCTTAGTTTTGCAGCTTGTACAAATGTTGAAGGTCTGAAAAATCAACAAAGGAAAATCGATTCTTCAATAAATAACCAGAGGTGGTGAAACTCAACGCATCCGAAACGATTGATGTTAAGCGCTAAGTTTCAATTTCGATAATCCACTCGGCATTAATAGCTTTTTCCCGTCGAAAAAAATAAGCCAACGACATAAAACTAAATAGAATAACTTCCAACATCAAACACAGGTAGATTAAATCAGAGAGTTTTAATCTGATACATCAAAATCAAACGAAAAAATACGGTAATTAAATCGAATCCCACTCACTGCATCAAAGAGCTAGCTTCCTTCAAAAGCTGCCTAATTTCTGCTCGCAATTGAACGTCCAATTCACTCATCGATCCTTTCTTCACAATTTAAAAGAGAAAAAAACAAAATTATCAACAACAATAAGCTAATTTCTGATAAATGCCGATATTTACATCGAGAAAAAACACAAATTATAACAAATAATAATAATAATAATAATAATAATAATAATAATAATAAATAAATAAAAAATAAAAAAAAAAAACTTCTTTTTGTGGAATTCGAGGTATTTGGAGACGAAGTGGAGAGAGAAAACGAGGATGAAAATCGCCGGAGCTACCAATGACTTGCCGTGCTCCGTTAGCTTTTCTTCCATCTTCTTCTTATGTTCTTCCTTTTTCCGTTTCAATTTCTTCCCCAAAAATAAAATTAAAAAATTGATTGTAATTTTCCTCCGAGGATTTCAGATCGATGCCGTCTAGATCAATGAGTTGTAGCCTTTACGTCACAGAAGAGAGAGAAAGAGATAAAGATGGAGATTGGAGCAGCGGTGGGACGAGGAGAAGAGGACACGTGAATGGAGCCGACATCGGCGGAAGCAGGAGGTGGAGGTGGAGGGCCGGAAGGAGGTCAACAATAGCTGCCAGGAGAGGAGTTTTTTTTAGTGGGGGTGAAAAAACGACGTCGTATTGCTGAAAACAGATTAAAAAAAAAAGTGAAAATCAAGCACGCATGTCACGATCGAGCTGGTTGGAAAATAAAAGGAAAAGAAAAGATTTGGGGATGGTGATTGGTGAGAATAAGGAGGACGACGACGTTTCAACAATAGATGGGCCAGAATAAAAGCAAAAAGAAAAGGCCTAAAAATAAAAGGGCAAGATCCCTATATATATATATAGTAATATATATATATATATATATATATATATATATATATATATATATATATATATATATATATTAATTATTGTATTTCACTAATTTTCTCAATCATATAGGCATTTTCGTTTTCAGTAGTTGGGGAAGACACTTGATTTTATTTATATATATGTTTAATTTCCTTATTTATCTTTGATATACCTAAATGGGCCGGCCCAATGAGCCCTCAAATTTATCTACTAATCAGGCCCACTACATGAGAGCCCAATCATGTACAAGTGGGCCCATTACATGAAAGCCCAAGTTCCTTCAAAGCAAAGCTTGGGCCCAACAAAGGAAGCCCAATCCATTCAACGATATATAAATAGATGTTTTACTCATTTATTAAGGTACGTTCTAATTATTCACAATCAACCTCGAGTTTTATTCTCTCTACTATTTCTACGATCCGTACATCTGACTTGAGCGTCGGAGGGGTTTCCGCCGGATCAACACCCGGCTTAGTTCACGTGTGCTCATTTTGTAGGGACCTCAGGATCATCGAGTTGACTATCTACTGATCAGCTTTGCTCTCCCAGCTCGTTTTCTATACTACTCCGGTGAGCTATATACTAGCTTCATCATTTTGGCGCCGTCTGTGGGAACGATGCAAACCAGATCACGTAGCCAACAAGATCCTCCTGAGGCGTCAGCTCGGAGAGAAAATGACACGGCTAATAACCTTCCCGTCCGTGGAGGATCTGGCATACCACCTCCTCCACGCGCCGCGGAACCACTTCCCCCACGTGCCGCGGAGCCAGCTCCTCCACGTGTAGCAGATCCACCTCGCGAGGTTCAGGTGATCCCTCCTCGGGATCCACCACTCGCCGATCCACCACTCCCTGTTCCTCGAACGGTTCAAATAACCGAGGACGCACTCCAACGCATGATAGCAGAAGCCTCAACTCGCGCCGCCATGGAGGCTGTAACTCAATATATCGCCACGATGGGAGCAAACGCTCCCAATGCGATACCAGCACCAGCTCCACCTGTGGCCCCACCGCCAATCCAGAATCAAATAAGTGTCTCCTCCTCTACCTCGGATCCACGGTCCCGAGTGCAGCTATCTACCAACCACAGAGGGGCACAACCCAGACAACAACGTCCGCGCTCACCCCCACGGGGGAATGCGTCACCACCGAGAGTCCCTCTCTTTAATGAGGGAGAAGGCGAGGTAAACAACAGAATGTCTCGCCAAAACCTTTTCTCCCAACCAAATAATCAAATGGGTGAAAGAATGCCTCCCCCAACAAGACGCAGTCCCTTCACCATAGACATTCTCAACGAGGTATTACCTCAAGGAGTAAAGATCTCGGGGTTACCACAATTTGAAGGGACCACCGACCCACAGGAACATATAGAGAAATTCAGTGCCATGGCAGATTTATATGGCCCGACGGATGGTGCGATGTGCAAAATGTTCCGCACCACTCTCTCCAAGAGGGCAATGAATTGGTTCAACTCCCTACCCATAGGGTCGATTGACACCTTCGCTCGGTTGTCGACCCGGTTCACCAACCAATTCGCCATCAACAAACAATATGCCAAGACCCCAGCTCATCTTTTCTCTGTAGTACAGAGAGATAACGAAACGCTCCGCAACTACATTAAGCGTTTCGTAGAAGCCGTCCACGAAGTCCCCAGTGTGGGGCAAGACATGCTCTCCGGGATTATGCAGCAGAACTTGAAACCGGGTAGATTCAAGGAATCTATCGCCGGAAGGCCCCAGGCAACCTAGAGGAGTTGCTAAATCGAGCAGAAAAGTACGTCCGGATAGAGGAAGCCTCTACCCATGCTCCTCCTAAAAGGAAAAGGGAAGACGACCGTCAGGACAATAGGAGACGTGATGACCGACGTCCACCACTTCCACCTCAAAGCCAACCCTCCTCCTCCTACAATACGTTCACTCCGTTAAACGCTCGCCTCACTGAAATCCTTCACGTGATAGAACAGAGAGGTTTAGCGGAGCCTCCACGTCCTATGCAGCCGAATGCAAAGCGAGAAAAGTCGGATCGTTATTGTCGATTCCACAAGGACAAAGGGCATACTACGGAGGAATGTGCGCAACTCAAAGCGGCAATTGAGAGGCTGATCAAACAGGGCCATTTAGGCGAATACATCGATAAGCCGCGAAATAAACGCCGTGATGACCCTCCACGCCGAGATAACAATCGAGATCAACAACAAAGGCGAGAAGAGGGGAATCATCGACGTGACCTAGATAACAATGATAACCAGCCTACCCGGGGACTCATCTCCTTTATCTCCGGAGGACAGGCGGGGGCGATTCACAAAATGCAAGATGCACCCTCGCTCGATCAGCGCGCATGAATCAAGAACGTGCTTCTCCATTCGCACGCATATATCAAATACGAAGACCTGATCACAACATAATCTTCAACTCCTCCGACCTCGAAGGTCCAGATGAAGACCATGTCGATGCATTGGTAGTAACAACAACGGTGGCCAACTTCTTGGTCAAGAAGATATTAGTGGACGGTGGAAGCTCAGCTGACATCATGTATCTCCACGCTTTTAAGCAGCTGGGCATAGATAATGCCCGGTTTAATCCCGTCTCCACACCCCTAAAATGATTCACAGGAGAAGGCATTTTGTCCATGGGAGAAGTGGAGCTGCCCGTCTCTCTAGGGGAAGACCCTTGTCGAATCACAAAACTAATCAAATTCACCGTCGTCGACAAGCCATCCCCCTAAAACATCATTCTAGGGAGGCCCGCAATCCATACATTCAAATCAGTGCCTTCCTCCTACCATCAGAAGTGGAAGTTCCCTACTCCCTATGGAATGGGGGAGGTACTCGGAGATTGACGTCTCGCCCGAGAATGTTATGCAAGGGCCCTACGAGAACCTTCTAAGAAGCCTAAACCACCCGGGAGGGGAGATGACACCCAAAAATCCGACAAGCGGAAATGGGTCAACGCAATCATTGAGGATAATAAAGAAATCCTCATAAGTGTACCAGATGACAGCATCAAGTTAGCAGCCGTCGAAGAGCTTAAGCTCATAGAGCTCACTCCCGGAGATACTTCCAAGCTCATACGAATAGGATCTGATTTAGATCCAACCATGGAGCAGCAGCTAATCAACTTCCTGCGACATAATGGAGATGTGTTCGCATGGACAGCCCAAGATTTGACGGGCATTCCTCCTCAGGTAGCTCTACATCGGCTTAATGTCGACAAAAGGTTGAAGCCGATCAAACAAAGAAAACGAACATTTGGACCCGAACGCAACAAGCACATCAAGGCAGAAGTGGCGAAACTTCTAGAGGCAGGTCATATACGACCAGTTCAGTATCCTGAATGGTTGTCGAACGTAGTACTCGTTCCAAAACCTGGGGGAAAGTGGAGGTTATGCGTGGATTTCACAGACCTCAACAAAGCTTGTCCTAAGGACCCTTTTCCACTACCTAGAATCGATCAACTCATCGATTCGACATCGGGATGCGAGCTCCTCAGCTTCCTCAATGCATATCAAGGATATAACCAGATCTTACTTGCGCCAGAAGATCAAGAGAGGGCTAGTTTCATCACTGACCAGAGCATCTACTGCTATCAAGTCATGCCCTTCGGGTTAAAAAACGCAGGAGCCACCTACCAGCGTCTAGTGAACAAAATGTTCGCAGATCAGATCGGTAAAAACATGGAGGTGTACATCGACGACATGCTCGTCAAAAGCGTCAAGGTCTCGGACCACCTAACTGATCTAGATCAGTGTTTCACCACCCTGCGGAAATATAAGATGAAGCTCAACCCCCTCAAATGTTCATTCAGAGTTCCGCGGGGAGGCAAATTCTTGGGTTATATGATTTCGCAGCGAGGAATCGAAGCTAATCCCGCGAAAATCGAAGCAATCACCTCCATGGCTCCGCCAACATCGATCAAGAAAGTTCAACAGCTCAACGGTTGCTTGGCATCTTTGAATAGATTCATTTCTAGATCAGCGGACAAGGCCCTTCCCTTCTTCAAAATTTTAAGGGCAGGAAATAAATTCGAATGGGATGAAGCATGTCAAAAGGCATTCGTTGAGCTGAAGTCGTATCTAGCATCCCCACCCCTGCTCACAAAACCTCAGCCCGAAGACACCCTCCTACTATACTTAGCTACCTCAGCTAATGCCGTCAGCGCAGTCCTCATCCGAGATGGAGGAAAAGGCCACCAACCCATATACTACATAAGTCGCGCCCTCCAAGGAGCCGAACAACGCTACACCAATATGGAGAAACTCGCTCTCGCTCTCATCAATGCAGCTCGGAAGCTTCGACCTTACTTCCAGTCACATCAGGTGGTAGTTCTCACCAATTATCCTTTGAAACAAGTACTAAGGAGTCCTGAGACATTCGGGCGATTAGCAAAATGGGCGATAGAGTTAAGCGAATACGGGGTCGAATTCAAACCCCGCCCAGCTATCAAAGCACAAGTATTGACTGACTTTCTAGTCGAAATGACCTTTCTAGAAGAAAGCACTTCTCTACCTACTTGGTCCGTCAACGTCGATGGATCTTCCACTGCCACAGGAGGTGGAGCGGGTATCGTCCTAACGAACCCCGACGGAGACGAATTCGAATATGCTCAACGATTCGAATTCACAGCATCAAACAACGTCGCAGAATACGAAGCCCTAATAGCGGGAATCCGCCTCGCCCTAGCAGCCGGAGCGCGCAAGCTCCTAATCCAGAGCGACTCTCAGCTTGTCGTTAACAAAGTACTCGGAGTTTAGGAGGCCAAAGAAGACATCATGGCCAAATACTTAGCTCTCGCGCACACTCTCTTATCTAAATTCGAAAGCTATGAGATAAAACAAGTACCTCGCTCCAATAACGTCCATGCAGATAAATTAGCTAGGCTAGGGAGCTCCATGGCCAGCATCGGAAGTCGGAAGGTGACGCTCCTCACCTCACATCAGCCGAAGATAAATTCGCCTACTGAAGTATACTACACCGAGGAGGATGAACCATGCTGGTTCACTCCAATTCTGAAGTATCTCAAGAAGGGGGAACTTCCAACGGATCCCACTAAAGCACGGAAGTTAAAAACAAGAGCCGCCCGCTTCACTATAGTGGGAGAATAACTGTATAAACGAGGTTTCTCATTCCCCTATCTCAAGTGCCTCGACCCAACCACAACGGATTACGTACTTAGAGAAGTACACGAAGGCATCTGCGGTAATCACTTAAGCGGGAGAACCTTAGCTCTCAAACTATTGAGACAAGGCTACTATTGGCCAACGATGCATGAAGATGCGGAAAGATTAGTCCGGAGGTGTAAGCCCTGCCAAGAGCATGCCAATATCATTCACATGCCAGCGGCGTTAATGCAACCAATTGACTGCCCCATCCCTTTCGCCCAATGGGGGATAGATTTAGTTGGACCGTTCCCGCCTGCCACAGGAGGACGTAAATACCTCATTGTAGCAGTGGACTACTTCACCAAATGGGTGGAGGCGGAACCCTTAGCACGTATCCGAGAAGAAAAAGTCATCCAATTCCTATGGAAGAACATCGTCTGTCGCTTTGGAATCCCACGTTCCATTATCTCAGATAATGGAACCCAATTTTGCGGTGACAAAGTGAAGAATTGGTGCCTGGGCTTGGACATCAAACAATTCTTCACATCCGTAGCAAATCCACAGGCTAACGGGCAAACGGAGGTCACGAATCGCACCATACTCCAGCACCTTAAGACAAGGCTTGGAAGTGCCAAAGGGAGGTGGGTGGACGAGTTGCCTAACGCACTATGGGCTTATCGCACAACCCCACGAGCAGCAACCGGAGAGTCGCCCTTCAATCTAGCTTTCGGAACAGAGGCTATCGCACCTGTCGGAATAGGAGAACCATCTTGGCGAATCACCAACTATGACCCAACAGCTAATGAAGAGGCTATGCGGGGAAGCCTAGACCTCGTAAATGAGTTACGTGAGATTGCATACATCCGACAACATATGTATAAATCACGCATGGCCAAGGCATATAACTCAAAGGTCCGCCCTCGCTCCTTTCAAGTCGGAGATTTAGTCCTCCGAAAAGCTGAAGCCTCTCACCCCATCGGTAAGCTCGACCCAAAGTGGGAAGGACCATATAAAATCCCAAAGGTGGTCAACACTGGAGCATATCGCCTCGAGAACATTGATGGACACCCTATACCCAGAACATGGAATATAGGGAACCTCAAACGGTTCTACGCATAAGGTATACATCTACCTTACTTCAGATCGGTTAAGGTCACCATCCATACCCCTTCTATATGAAAGTTACTTACAAATTGTCGCATCTGCAGGTTCCACGACCTTCCACGTAACTCGTCTTGTCAGCTGTTCCTAGATGGTTAGAAATTTTTCTACTACATAACTAGGTGCGTTAACATCCTACCTAAACTGGGGGGCTAGTAAATTTATTTTCACCAGCAACTCATGATCACATCTCACCATCTTATTACAGATTGGGAGCCAATGACGAGGGGACGCATATTACTCAATCAACGGCCCGAAGAGCGAGAACACTCCATACCACATCGCCACGGGTAACGATACTTCCACTATAATACACCATACGCATGCTCTTGGATATTCATACTAACGAGAACAAAAATCACTCCATCTAATAGGCACGATCACACAACAAATCATAGCAACTCACAAGTTGATTTCATAACTCGAAGTGCGAGGAAGAAAAATCATATCCCCGTGTTAGGGTACGTGAATTTGCAATACACATCATCTCAGCTTCAATTACTAAGTCTTCAATACAAACGCTTAAACAAAATTCATTTTTCATCAATTATACCTAACAGGCATAGAGACGCCAAAGGAATTCAGCCTACCATCAGCACAGCGGAACGAACGAGTACAACGAAGACGTGGAAAAAGAACAAGTGTAGTACAATCAATCATAAGAATTTTTTTTTTATCAAGACAATTTATTGCTTTAGCAGTAGCAAGTTACCTTCGCCTCATGTAGGCCCATCGTATTAGCTATTTATTAAATTCGCCTCACATAGGCTTGTAACAATTCTCCTATGCTATCGTTGAATAAATCACAATTTTCGTTTTACTCTTTGTGCCTTCACATCGACACAAATTACCTCTCATCATGAGTCTAATTCAATACCACCCTATAAACACTTAGAGAGATTTAGATAATCCATATAGCCTGGCCAGCTGGATTATCTGAGCCCCTTTGTTTGTTTCACGAGGTGTTACCTTTAAAACGTGGCCACGGACAAATAAATTTAAGACCCAAGAGGTCCAAACAAGGGGCACGACCCTTAACCAAAACCTTGGGAGGCTGATCCCCTCCTCAAGTACATCGCGTAT